TCAGGAGATGTGGACAGGCTAGACTACAAAGGGCCATGTGTGTCTTCAGGAAGAGTTTGGACCTTATTCTCAGTCCAGTGGGGAGACATGGGAAGGTTGGATCGAGTGCATTATAATGTATGTTTTTTAAACTTCACCCTAAATGGAGAATAATGAGTTGTAGGCAGTAAAGAAAAAAGGGATACTAGATCAGAGGTAACCCAAGCTAAAGATTGCTGGTGGCCTTGACCATGGTGGTAGTGGGGAAGATGAGCAGAAGTAGATGGATGCAGGATCTTTTTCGGAAATAAAGCCTGCAGATCTTGCTCATGATTCAAATGTGGGAGATGAAGTGGAAGGTTAAGTCCGGAGCTCTGGGTGTCATCCTGAGCTTGAGTAAATGGTAGTGCTGCTCCCATTGAGACAAGAAAGCCAGAATTAGAAGGGGAAGGGTCCAGTTTTGACCCTACTGAAGTGTATATTAGATGCCCAAGTGGAATTGTAAGGAGGCAGTCGGAAATATTCTTCAGATGATTATGCAGATGCTTCTTGATTTACAGTGGGGTTATGTCCTAATAAACTCATCATAAGTTGAAAATATTGCAAGTCAAAAATGCACACAAGGTACCTACAGTTGTAGTAATGTTACATCACTGGACTTCAATATGGCTGACTGCAATTTGAGTCCCAGACCTGGTGGCTTGAAACTCATGCCAGGCCTGTGTGAGTGCATGCCCAAAACCCTGAGAGCAGAATGGAGAAGGAATTATGGCATGACTATCCCCCCAGGGGGTGATTTCTTGCTTTCTGTGTCTCTGTGTGTCTCTGACAAGCACATGTGCCCTATAGCAAAAAATAAAAATAAATTTTAAAAATTAAAATAAAATTTTAATTCTCTAAAAAATTAAAGTCTATTTAGTACATTTAGGTTGGGTGAGGTACATGTCCTATTGAACATCATAGCTTGGCCTAGCCTACCTTGAGTGTAGCACACTTACATTAAGCTATTGTTGGGCAAAATCCTCTAAGATAGAGCCTATTTCATTTATTATTATTATTATTTATTTAATTTGACCACAGAGATGGAAAGAGAGAGAAAGACAGAAAGTGAGAAAGCAAGCCATCAGGTCCAGACCTAAAACCATGGTTGGCCGTGTGAGAGTCCAGTACCTAAACCACCATGCCATCTGCCAGCCCCTAAAAAGCCTATTTTATAATAAAATATTGAATAGCTCACATAATTTATTGAATACTGTACTGAAAGTGAAAAACATAATCATTGTGTGGGTACTCAAAGTATGGTTTCGACTGAATACAAAACTCTCACACCATCGTAAAGTCAAAAATTAAGTCAAACCATCCCAAGTTGGTGACCATCTGTAAATACTTTGACCTGTTGGGGTTTGGCCAGTACCAGCTTGAGCCTAATAAACTTGAGACAGATTTTATTTTTAACTGAAAATTGATTTTGCTGTGGGCAGTTACATCTAATACTGACAAACTGTACCCTTGAAACCAACATTTGCCTTTTGATACTTCTGTCTCCTGTATCTTCCTCTGACCCCCTTTGTTAGATAATCCAGAAATTCTAGGGAAGGGATACCGCATCGATTTCTTTGAACACTCCCCTTATAGTTCTTCTTTTCAAATATTGGGGAAAAAATTTTATTGGCTGAAAGTGAAAGAGATGATCTGTTTCTTGACTTTTAGAGGCTATATTACAGATTGGTCGGGTCTACCCTCTGAAGCCATTTTTATTAGATGTGTGTTTTGCTTTAACTAGGTGTGTGTGTATTAGACTGAGGGCAGGAGTGTGGAGTGGGCATGTGGGTGCCCTTGATGAAAACTGCATTTAACTCTTTTGTCAAGTATATATTTGAGCCATTATTCCATTCCCACAAGCATAGTTTTGCACGTTCCTTGTTGCTAGCTGTACTTTTAAAAGCATTGAAAAGTCAACAAGGAGGGCAAGACAGTGGCACAGCAGTAACACAGTGCTCTGTAATGCAGAACCCAGGTGGAAAGTCTTGGGTTTATATTTCCAGGCCTCCCTGCACACACACACACACACGCACACATACATCATTGATCCAGGCTGGCTGAGGCTGGGGGTGGATTGCAGTATGAGGACCCTGTTGGTGGTGGTGCCTGTTCCCACACCATATGGAATAAATAAGTAAATGAACTTAAAAAAAACAAAGTTAAGGAATGTAGCTATTAGGTCATCAGGAAAGTCATGATGCATTTTTGCATAGAGCAAATACATCATGACTTTCCCAGTGACCCAATAAATAGTATTGTCACACCCTCTGTGAGCCATACTTACATGTTCTGTTTAAGAGGAGGGTAAAGGGAAAAAGAATGATGGTGTAAATATTAGGGTGGATGAGTTTTTACTCATTCGAGATAAAATCAAATGGATGTTCATATTTCTGGAGTCCCTGTTGCACTCAAGAAAGAGATTCACAGCTTTTCTAAACTGGAGGAGGGAGGGGCTCTGTCTCATCTTCTAGAATCTGGGCGTCATGGAATACCATGGAAAAAGCCCCATCCTTGCTCTAGTTTCTCTACTGCGCCGTGAGGTCCAGGAAGGCAGCCACAGGGCTATCCTGTATGCTGGCATGGGAGACCCAGCATGCTAGCACAGCCCCTGATCCTCTCATCACTGACTCCGCTCCTTTCGGTGGTGTCTGCCAGGCTGTAAGGGCTCATGTAGTGCATGTGTTGAAAGCTGCCCTCTTGGCAGTCACACTGGTCCTCGAGGATGGCCTTTTGGAAGTAGTGGAGCGATGAGAGACATTGAAGGCCAGGAAGGATGTTTCTGAATGGGGAAGAAAAAGGTATTCCAGAGGTCAGAGGCAGCAAACCAAAAAACCCATGGAGTCTAAAGTGAGATGATTAGATGAAATAAGGATTGTTGACAAGTTCATGAACTACTGTGGTGAGCCAGTGACTTCTGAAGTTACATTTGGCCAGACAGCCTTCGTCCGTCTGTAGTCGGTGGCTGGAGGAGGCAGTTGGCACCCCTGCATGTGCTGGGCTTATGGAGCCCCATCAAGCAGTGCTGTACTAGCAAAAGTGGAATCTAGCAGGTCTCTGACCGGTAATAATTTCCCCAGACATTCCTATTGCTGCACATCAGTGATCGTTCAACATCTGTTTCTTTACTATTGCATAAAGTTTCATTTTATTTTCTGACAGTGTGTATTTCAGATTTTCTAAATGCTTCACATTCTTTCTCCTTTGCAAGCAGCTTGAATGGGCAGGTTGCCTACCCCTAGGGGTTGATGACTTTGTCCATATTGGCTTGTAATGGTTCCATTGGACCTTCACAGGGATGAAAAAAGCAGATGGCTTTTGTTTTAAATGTTAAGGAGTATATTATAACCCATGCCCATATATCTAGTGCTGAAAAGAACTATAGGGGTGAGCCTAAATGAAGCCCACAAAATAAATCACTTTTGAAGGTTTTGGTTTCATTTCTCTGAACAGCTAAGGATCCAAGGGAACTCAACAATTTTGCCAAGAACATATGTTTGTGTCCTTGAAGTGAAATAGGGAGTCAAGTGGAAGATAAACCAAAGCAAAGACTACCAGCTGATCAGATGGCTTAGAGACATTTACTAGCTATTTTTAAAAGACAGGAAGAGTGACAGAATTTTTTTAATTGCTAGAGGGTGTTTACCCTCACCAGAGAAAGAGAGCAAGAGAGTATGTGTGTGTACTCCTCAATGGGCTGCGGTCACCCTGCAATCCTTTTGCCTTCATTTCTCCATCCCATCAGGAGGTGAGCATTCATGCACATGTGCCAGGCATGGTTTTCAGTCTGCCAGCACTGGAATTTGAACCATGGTCAGCCATGTAGGATCTGACTCCCACTCCATAGCACTTAACTGCTTCACTATGAGGCCGGCCCATTCAGCTATTTTTGACAGAGTTTCCCCATACCTTCCAGTTAGCTAGGATCATAGGTACATGCCTAGGCCCCTAGCCTGTTTAGGTTGGGCTGGCAACGAAACCTGGGCCTCCCATGTGGCCTCAGCAATCACACAGCAGCATCCTATTGCTTGCACCATGGCAGCTGGACTCAAAGCATTTTGCAATATATTTAAAGAGTATGCAGACCAATGTCTGTAGTAGTCAATAGCAAATTCTTCAATTAAGTTTCTGTTTTGGTTTCTCCTACCAAAGATCTCATTTACATGTTTTAAAGATGTTTGAAATTAAATCCAATTTGATGTTTTTAACATATATTACACACACACACACACAATATAAGTAACATATGATTACCTATCAGCATTGATTGTGTATCTACTAGGTGTTGTCAGCTGCTACCTATTTTCATAAATATCTCATTTAATGCTAACAATAAGCCTGCCAAGTATTAAATGATTATTCCTACTGGAAAGGCAAGCAAACTGAGAGTTTTAGGTGTTCAACAACTTTCATGAATTGTAAATGGCAGAACTGGGTTCGAACTAGTCTCTAGGCACCCAGACCTGACCTTCACCTTCCTCTCATCTTCCTTTCTTAGTTAATACCCATGCACAAGTAACGGCAACGCTCACACAACCCGTGTGTACACACACAGGGGCAGAAAGAACTTCACCTAACAGAACCCTGGTCCTGTTCACGCTTGCCATGTTGTTTACTGTCATAGACACTAGACACAGGGGGCTATTGAAATTTAATTAGGAGTCCATGGAATTAAAAGTTCAGTTCTTCAGTTGCCATTAACCACATTTATCACATTTTAAACATGCCATAGCCACCCCTGGCATGTGGCTCCAAACTGGATGGCACAGAAATCCATCTCAATTATCGCAGAAAGTGCTATTGGACAGCACTGCCAGCCAGAGACTTTGATCCAATCCACGGAACTTTTTTCTTCTGCGATGATTCTGTAACATCGATTGACAAGTGATGGATATTGGGCCTGACGTGACAGCTCCGCTCTCCTGTGTCAATGTCAAGTGTCTCTCCATATCCTTCACGGTGTGCTCACTTTTTCTTCCAAGGAGGAAGTTGGCCGGATATGGAAGATGGAGCTGCTCAAAGAATCGGATGGGCTGGGAATTCAGGTTAGTGGAGGCCGAGGATCAAAGCGCTCACCTCACGCTATCGTTGTCACTCAAGTGAAGGAAGGAGGTGCCGCTCACAGGTGACTAGATAACTCTCCCCATCTCTCTGCCTCTTCCCCTCCCCTCCCTTCC